TTCGTGTTCGACTGGGTGACTTTACGGCTCTCCCGACTGCTTTCCGGAGGCGTGCCCGGCCCGCGTGTTTCCTCGTGCTGATGTGTGCAGCCATGTGCAGCGTGTTCCCTGCTTGCTCGGATTGCGAGGCGCTTGCATGAGCCTTGCGCGCCTGCATGAGGTGTCTGATTGTTTCAGCACCGCCATGAAGAAAGACATGTGAGAGGCGCATCTTCTCTTATACCTGCGGCAGGTGCATGACTCCATGATGATGCTGCAATTGAAGGACGGATTGTGAAGGAGGAGGTTGTTGCAGTCCTCCACCAAATGAACAAGAATTCTGCTTCCTGCTATGTATCTCCTGCTACTCCCTTTGTACAAAATTCAGGAATACAAGACAGTGGCTGATTGCCCTCAGCTGACAAAACTCACAATCATCGAGACCCCTTCTTTCCAAGCGTCACGCTGTCAGCCATTCCACAAGGCCCGAGTCCACAATTCAAGAGCACTGAGGGATCTGTGAGCTTGCAGCTCAGGTTGGGCGGAGGCAGGGAAGGTTTTTCTGCATGGACCTGCAGACCATGGCAGCTGCAGCATGGCCAGCCCAGGCTGCGCCTTCTCTAGTTCCTTCAGCCAGGGAGAGCTTCTGCAGCAAAAGGAGAGCGTTCTTGTCAAACGGCCACTCTCTTCTTCTTACTCCCCAGCTCCCAGTGAAATTCAAAAAAGTGCAAACACACAGCCTGGCTATACGAGCCCTTCAAAGAGACCCGCGGACTGGCAGCTCAGGTCCTAGTCCCCTGATCTGGCCGGAAACCTCAATTGAAGACAGCTATCTCAGACGGCTTCACAGGCGCACAGGAAAGGTGCGCACTGTTCCTGCTGCTGCGCAGTTGAGTGCTCCCCTAGACCCTGCAGCAGAAACGGGGGTTGAACTAGACAAGGAGGGGTTCTCGTGCGAGCAGTTCTGTGAGGATGACTTTGACATCCACCCGAGCGTCAGCATCGGTCTGGGGGGGCGCAGCGATGAGGCGCTGTTTGAGGCGACCGTACAGAAGGAGGGAAGCAGCTTGCGGGGACGGAGGGTGGTGTTGCGCCAATTGATAGGTAAGTCTGTACACTCTGAGGTTTCAGAGAGCACAGCACTGTTATTTGTTTGTGGGGAAACCTGGACTTGTGGATAGCTGCAGGCTTTCCAGCGCCATTTTAAGTGTTGAGAATCATCAATGTCTTTGGCATCACGCCGACTCCTGCACTTTTCCTTCGTTCTTGCTAGCAACTTACGTGTTCTGAACCGTTTGGAGTATCACCAATCAAGAAAGGGGCATTCACTTGTTGCATATCTACCTGCAGGTAAGCGAGCAGAGCGGTGGGGTCGCAGAGCGCTGGAGGTCTGGCAGAGGGTGCGGGCGGGGCGGCAGCATGGGCTGCATCCCTACATGGCTGCGGTGCACGGGTTCATTCCAGCGGGGGGGAAAGAGAGGCCCCTAGTGTTGGTCCATGCGGTGAGCCCCCCTTGGAGCCCCCCTTTCTGTTGGAAGTCGACATGACGGTCAATATGGTTTATCTCAGAAGTCAAAATATCTGTGCGTTCGCAGGTGTTGAGTGGGGACGTTGAACAACGTTGAAGAAGTTGCAAATGCAGCTCAGTAAAAGGAACATGTTGCATACTCATCTCAATGCATAGAGGAGTAGGTCACGGCGCCCTTTCAAAAGTAAAGTGTATAGTCTCTACTGAAGACTTCTGACTTTCGGAGTCAGGCCATGATCCTTTGTGAAAATAAAGCTTGCAAATAAGAAATTCACACCGCTGAGCTCAGATCTCAAACTGTGGTTTCCCTTCCCTTTCACAGTTCTACGGCAGCTACAGCCTACACCAGTGGCTGTTGTGCCCTGATTGGCTGCAGCGCCTGGAGGCGCGTCTCAGTCTAGATCCGGAGGAGGCCCGCCGGCGTCTGGGGGACGCTACCACTGGGGGGGCGCAGGTTTCGCGCCAACAGCGCGTGATCAAAATGTTGCTGAGGGATGCGCTGATTGGGGTGAGCATAGAAGTCTGGAAGGAAGCCATGCGAATTACTTGTGTCTGGTATACAAGGTCCTGATAAGGTTTCGAAATCTTGCATCAATGCAAGCTCTTGCCAAACTTCCGATGGATAGAACTGGGACACAAAGGTGAAGGGCTGGGATAGTTTTGCCTAACAATGTTTGGAAGCTCGTATGAGTCCTCTGTAGGAACTTCCAGGGAGTAAGGTCGCGCTGTCTTCTCTGCCCAGTTTGAAGTACAGTGCTTGCTGAAGGAATGATTCAGACAATTGGGCCGGCCAAAAGTTCGTTGGTCCCTTCCAGTTCTCGTTGCTTCCATATATGCGTCCAGAAACGTGTCCGCCTAATGTTGCTCGCTTGCTGTACTGTGACAGGTCAACTACCTGCACCAGCGAGGTCTCGCCCACACCACTGTCACTCTACGGACGGTGTTCCTTTCAGCTGCAGACAAGCGCCTGAAGGTACGATTCAAACCCTGACTTTTCAAGTCCCCAACTCTCAGGCATGGCTTATTTTGAGAGGGTACGGCTCTTGATGTTTGGACTTGTTGCGGTGTCTTGTCAGCGTTGTCAGATTTCAATCCTGTCAATCTCAGGTTCGCCAGCTCTTCTGCTGACTGTAGACGGCGGAATGGAGATCATAAGTCAAAGCAATTGGAGGAAGGAGATGTCGTCTATCTCATTCCTTGCACTTTGGCTTGCCAGCTGTGCGTCCCTGGCAACGCGGTGGACTTGCCCCCACTGGCGACCGGGCAGCGCAAGCGCGGCGCGCATCCTCGCACCAAGATGATGGCCTTTGACATCAGGTAGGAGAGTGTCTACTTGATCGAGGGCACACGAAAGTCTTGCAACTTAGGGGAGAATATCGTGATTGCTGCTAGCCACATGGGTATGACTCTTTTTTAGGGGGTGAATTAGATCCTATACAACCTCTTAGTTGCTTTGTTTCCTGCATATTCTTCCCATGTACAACAACGATTTTTGTGCTAGTCACTTGGACGCACTTCAAAAGAATCAGCACCCACTGCTTGAGTATGAGCCTTCAAAAGGTGGACCTTTTGTCTGGTCTGCCGCATCTTTATAAGAAGACTTATTGCTTTGCTCTTCTCACGCTTTCAAGTCGGAGAATTCAAACACAGCTTTCTTCAGATGGAGCAATGCGTCGATTTTTCATATCACCTCGTCAGTCACGAACTTCGCTGCAGCAAATTCTGACTCTCCACCGTTCGATCAACATTGTTCTGTCCAAGGACCTGACGGCTAAAGCCAAAGCGTTTTGTCGTCCAGGTGTATTGGCATTTTGATGGCGCGCCTCGTATTGCGTGAGCTCATGCGGCCCGAGGCGGACGCCCACTTCCGCGCCTTCCTCGTCAAGGTGCGCCCATCCTAGTTACTAACTAGGAGGCGAAACAGAGCGGGATATTTTCTCTGCAAAGCCGCTGGACTCGTACCCACTTGCCAGCTAACCGGTCTTACCAAATCAAATGCAGAAAATCGTGTCTAGAGTTCGGCCTTGAGATGGTATGAAATGAAAAACGCCTCTTCTCTAGTAACGAGTAGGCTTGCTTAGAGTCCATTTCCTGATTGTTGCGTCCGTACCCGAGTCACGTTCAGGGTATCTAGCTTTTTCGGAGCGAAACTTACTGCAACACCTCCAATTTTGAGTACTTTATGCGCCCAATATTTGGTGAGTTTTTGTAGAGCTCTTCAGACACAAGAAGTAGATGGGGTGGCTGCAATTCTCAGCAAGTACCAATCGTATTGTATCAAGGACCTTCGGGATGCTCTTTTGGCCCCTATGCTGACGCCCCCTATCACCTTTGTCCAGCTCATTAGGTATTCGTACACAGTGTTTTTGTGCCAACGAACTCCGATCGTGTCGGGTGGTTGGACTCTTCAATTTCAGAGATTGTCGCGCAAACACCCTCATAGGGCCACTACCCTTCTTGCAAAAGTTTTTCCTTGATGCTCTTGTGACTAGACTGTTACTAATTCGAACCTCCTCCCTAAAATAAACTTCAAAGGAAGGGCATACTCCCTTTCCTCGAATAGTCTACATACGGCCCCCCTCAAAAAATCTGAAGCCGGCTCTTTTTGCCCCCCATTTCAGGGCCACGACCCCGCCAGCCTTCGCGAGTCGCTCCTCCCTTTCCTCTCCACCCCGGACGGCCCCTACTCCAGCCCCGGCCTCCAGCTTCTCGACCGCGACGGGGGGGTCGGCTGGCACCTGCTCGCCCGCCTTTTGGCCCCCCCTGCCGCGGACCGAATCTCCGCCGCCGACGCCTTACGTCACCCGTTTCTGTGCGCGCGTCGGTGGCGGCCGGAAGCGAGCGTTGCGATGGCGGCCTGGATGCTGGGATCGACGGCCGTGAGGATCACGGAGGAGTACGTGTACAACGCGAGTCAGAGGAGCAAGATGGCGACGCTGATCGCGGCGCTGGAGCGCTTGCAGCAGCCCGATCGAGCTCAGGTGAGAACTGCCGTTGGAGACGACCCTTGTAAATCTATAGCGCTTTTCAGTGCCCTTACTGTACGCTTCATTCTGTACTTTTTCCAATAATTCCAGGCCCGCAGCCAAAGCACGATGGCCACGCTGATTGCGGCGCAGGAGCGGTTGCAGCAGCCCGACCAATCTCAGGTGAGGAGACGGTGTCTTAACGAGTTTTGCTTTTCTTTTGATAAAAGTTTGGGTTCGACTAGGACTGTTGATCAGGCCGCGCTGAGAGCTGGATGGCTCTACGAGCCGGGGCGGTTTATTGTGGCGCTGGAGCGGCTGTAGCAGTTCGACAGAGCTCAGGTAAGCGATAGATCGTTAAGAATGTCTGTTTGTATCTGGGTTGGGTAAGTCTACTCTTTAAGGCCCGTGGTTAAGGAGGAGACCGCCAAGAGCTGCGACAGCTGAATGTGGTGCTCGGAAGGCTGCAGCATCTTAATTGGGTTGAAATGAGAGGGGGGAAATGATGAGCAGTCTTCCGTTTCAGTTGGATTGGTTGTCTCTCGAAGGCCTGTTGTTCAAGCGACTAGCGAAGAGCGCGTGCGCGGCAGTAAGGCCGTACGAAGACAGCGATTCTCAATTCTCTCGTCGCTTCGGCCCCTCTCTTGGGCGCTCCGTGCTTCTAATGGATTGGGAGGCTTCGACTACATCCGACGAGTCAGTGCCTCTACCTCAAGGTAATTGACCCGCCTCGACGTCAAGGTGAATGAAAACCAATCGGTGTTCCTATTTGATCCGCCTCGACGTCAAGGTAAATGGAAAGTAATCGGAATTTCTATACTCTTTGACTCTCCAGGCTTGGTCCCGCTACGCCCGCGGCGAATGGCGCCTGCTGTACCACACGGGCCGCCAGGTCGGCATGACGCTGCGCCAAAGCGCCGCCCCCGTGCGCATCGACCACGCGCTCCTCTCCATCTCCCTTGAAACCCCCCCCCCGGCCACCCCCGTTCCGGCGGATTCCGCTTCCGGCATTCAGTCGACCCGAACTAAAAGCATGGACACCTCTCCCAAGGTTCCGGCAGCCAGCTCTCAAGGGTCCCAGGTTGCGCCGATTCACACCACGTCCGAGTCTCAGTCCGTTCCGACCGAAACTGCCCACGAAACTCATGCTTCCCCTTCCGACGGCGAACATAGTGACTCGGCCCAAGCTGCGCCGTGGTTCGCTCGCGCGGCCTTCCAAGCGTCCGTCGATTTCGTGGCCGTCGATGCATTGTGGCCTGCGGACAAGTCCGGCGTCGCGGGCCGGCTGCTCCCGTCCAGCAGTGACGTCATTTGTGACGAGGGGCTCGAGGGGGGGCAGCAGAGCAGTGGGCACGTGCCGGGGTTGCAGCTGCGGGTTGGGGGTGTCGAGATGGAAATGGAGCTGGATTACACGGGAAGGGACTCCAAGTATCCGCAACAGGTAAGCTGATGAGGCGTAAAACGGGCTCTACTTCCGTGTTGTTCCTCGTCGAGTCTTGGGTTTTCTCCAGCATGTGCCCCAGTGTTGTTGAAAATTTCGCGGCTGCTTCGTGATGACTCGTGATGCTCCCTTAATTACATTCGAAGCTTCCAATCCCTCACGAATTTGCGACCAACTATATATACTGTTCTTCGTCGTTTAGAAAGTTCTCGCCGGCCGTGCCTTCATAGTCAACTCACTATGTCTATCTTGACCTTTGTTCATGTGAGCAGACTCTCAAATCTGGCCGTTCCGCCAGGTTCTGGGCGAGGTCCGGCGCCAGATTCCGCCAGAACTATTCGACCTGGCCCTGCTTCACCGAGTGACGTATATTGACGGGCGGCTGCTCGTACTGCGAGGCGCGCACGGGACGGCGCTGCTCTTCACGCGAACCGCGCGGGCCAGCATGCCGGCGTTCCAAGCGGAAGGGACGCAGTGATCGGGCAGAAACCTTGAAAGCGTACAGCAATGTGGAAAATTGGTTCGTGAAAACTGGTACTCGTTGATTTGGTGTTTGGATAAGCTTGAGCGAAAGCAATGACAGGGCCTACTTTTAGCAAAGAAAAGTCTCTAGAGTTTGTCCACATAGAGCTGTACAGATGATTCTAGGACTCAAGACGGAAAAGCAGATTGAAAGCGATGTGAAGATTTCGTGACTTTTTGTCATCAAAGCTATTGTGCTCTCGATCATCATATCAGGACATATGAGGTAGGACGACACTCCTTCCTCAAAAAGCTAATGAACAAAAACAAAATTTGAACAAAGCGCGGATGCGGTTGCTAGCTGACCCAGCTGTGTAGCAATCTAAGAATAGAAACGTAGCAAAGCCGTATTTGTGGTCCCAGGGCCTCCAAAGTTACACATACTATATATATCATCGGCGTGGTCACGCGTTCAGATGTCATGACAGTACACAGCATGTAGTAGTGACTTCGTCGACCTGACTGTTTGCCGCCATGTGCGATCGATCGATTATGCACATGCACAGCATCATATATTGCAATCAGCATATATGCATATGCAATCGTCAATTAAGCAAGCTAATGATATATAGCAATGATTGCAGCGAGTTCTAATTGAGCGCCGTAGCTGGATCCATGCACCATGAAATGACGGTACATGCATTGATGCACCTGTAATTACTGAAGTTATATTCTCACTTCATAATTCTGTTGCTCAAGGCGGAGTCTATCAAAAGTGTGCTAAAATAAGGACTATGGCTATCTGGGACTTCTGCTTCAAAGAGTTGTTCATTGAACTGCCAAGCCATAGCCCCAATAGCATTGGACCCTTTAACCATGGGCCCCCACTCCCACCTTTTCCTGACCTGCCTGACCCCTCCCTAACTAAAGCCCCGGGTATGCCCTCTATTTCCGGAAGCCTTGCCTTCAAAGCCGAAGAGTGTTTGTACATGAAGGACTCATCGACTCTTGTATCCATCTCCTCGGCTAGGGGGTATCCAAACCAACAAATGATGTCACCTATTGCGACGGGAGCATCAAGATGGATCACGATAGCTAGCCTCCTAAACTGAGTCATCGACCTAGTCCCTCCTAATACCTCTCTAAGCCGTATGAACGCTATGTCAAACGCGCCTCCATCATCCTCCGACCCCACTTTGTATTTGGGCGAAACAAACGCGGCATTATTTCGGCTAACCCTGTCAAACGCGATCTCGAAGACCCCCTTCTCCCTCCCCGGTGCCGTATCCTCCGGCGTCCGTTGCTCCGGATAAAACAGAGCCATTGTCAGCTTCTTTCCCTCCTCCACTACACCGTGAGCACTTGTTGCAAGATAAAGGGGCGCTTTATCGCGGTCCGCCGGGGCTTGGAAGGTTCTTGCAAACACTGCTAGATAACCTGTTCCGTAGGTTATTTCTTCAACTCCATCCTTGTCCTCCCAATAACTTTCCAAACGTCCTACCGCCTCTTGGGGCCCCCACCCTAAATAGCCGTTGCTACACCGCACCGCTGTTGGCATTTTTATGCTAGCCCTTCACTAATGGTATTCGACCCTAAAGCGCGCACAACTTGACACGTCCTCCGTCTCGCAGGTTCGATCCTGTCGGCCTCAAAGCTCCTTGGGGCTGGTCTGCTCTGGCTCAGTGAGCGATCCGTGCTTTTCGTCGATGCAGACTTGAACCGGTTCTTGATCTCCTGGACACGTGCAAGCCGTTCGGCACGCCTTTCTGCAGCTTCGGCCTCCTTCTTGTCTACCTGTCCCTGCACAACCAGAGGAGCTTGATCAGAATCAGCAAACACCATTGAAAGTGGGTTCGAATACCACAGAGTGCATTGTAACAAGTTAAAGCACGCAATGCACAAGCGGCCTGGCATTACTTTCCGCTTGATCAGAACTAGAGGGACAACTTTCTGGCTGAAGGCAATTTTTGTAGTTGGCGTTCACTGGCCATTGTCACCTGTTCACAAACAACCCGATCAATGATCCAGAGAACCAGACTTCTGCATGTGGTGAAGCCTGCAACTTCAGACGAGCACCTCCCTACTAAACCTACCCTCGTGAAGTTTCAAGAGAACCAATGATCAGGAGCGAGGGTCATCATCCAAAAGGTCTCGAACAAGAAGCAATAGAATTGCTGCCTCTCAATCAGTGAGCCCGCAGGCTCTCACCTCAAAGCAAACCCCCCGCTCAGCTCTTGCAGCCCATTTCAGACCTCCAATCTTTGTTCGCGACCATACCACACCCTTGTCTCCAACACGCAAGCCGCGTTCTTCGGCAACAACACTTTCCTGCAAACACGCAACATTGTGCTACCAAATCATGATAGATCTCAGACGTAATCTGCCTCCAAGCTTTTAAGTCCTGCCTCTATCCAGATCTGTCAGCGCTGCTCTGTGAGAGATTTCAAACACTGTTCTGGATCCTTTTTGATTCTTTCACTCCAGAATGTGCACTCTCTCTACAAGCGTGCCTATTCTAGAGCCCGTATGCAACATGTTTCAGGAGCCAATGGTAGTCACCTGCAAGTTAACAGACAGGAACTTAAGAAGCTTTTCAACCTTTCATGACGCACAGAACAATCTGAACGGAGTGTCCATATTCCAGTCTCTCACCCCAGGGCTGATCACAAGCTCCTCGAAGGAAATCTGCACGCCCCGGTCCGTTTGAATCAGGCTCTGATCCAAGTCGATGACTTGGATCCAATCAAAGATCACCTCAAAACCTGGTAGAGCAAGAGAATAAGACGTCAGTGCCTTGCCAGATGGTTGGAGCTTTGCAATCAGATGAACGAAGATCAGCAGCTTCACAGAAGTTACACAGACGCCTTGACACTAATGAACAACATAGAGCATACCGAAACAGATCCTCAACCACCTCCTTTCTCACACGGCAACTCCAAGCTTAGAACAGAAGCTCTCTGGCTGAACCCCCACGTTTTTGAAACACGCACGAACAGCCAAGAATTGAGACTGCCTATGCGGAAAGTTTAAGCATATCAGCACACATCCAGGATTCTGCTCTGCTGATGACATCCTGAGATCCTGCACCTGAGCACCTACCATCGGTCTTGTCCCTGACCGGAACCTCGTCGTACTTGTCCACAAAGGGCTGCAAGAACAAAGCGCCTCAGTAAAGCACAGCAGAATACAATCCCTTCAGTGCAGCACCAGGATGCTTCTTTTGGATAAATGAGTACATATTTCGATATTTGTGGCCCACGGCAAGTGAGGAAGGGTGGCGTCCGAATGTCGGAGTCTCAGCAGGCTTTTTGAGCTCGTAGGTTCTAAATGGACCAAGCAATGAACATTCTTCTCTACTTTCTGAAGTGCAGCAAGGAGGAGGCAAATAGCTTCCAGCAACAACCAAAAGCTTACATAAGGCCAACTCAGGACAAGCACGCGCGTCTTGTCACCCCCCGCCTTTGCATACTCGCGCAAAAACTCTGGCAACTGCAACGACTGCGCTAGAACCAGGTACTTTGTAGCCAAAACAATCATGGTCACCTGCAGATTATGCAGCAGAAGAGCGATGTTTGAGATCGGGCGGCAGCGAACCTCAAAAGAATCAAGAAACATCTTCAACTCCCCGCACAACCTTTCATTGCACCAGGTGTCAGCTTTCAGGGAATGAATAGAGACTCGGAAGGAACAGTTGCGCTGAAACATGGAACAGTCTCATGCTTCCAGCAGGTCTGGTCTCATTCTGCAGGAAGCAGCACAAAGGACCCTAACTCTCGTGACAGAGCCAGACGACCATCTCATGATCTGAGCAAGCAACCAAGCGAGCGGCTCACCGCTTTGTTCAGCTTCCTTCACCCTCTTTACACAGCTACACCTTTTCGCAGAGGGAAGGTCTCTTCCATTGGCATTGGATCCTAGAACTCAGAAGAACACCAAAGCTAGGAGTAGAATATAGATACCTGCGCCAGTGCTTTGCCGCTGCGAATGGCCTGGGCTGTGCTCTGGCGCCTGGCACTGGCAGCCTGCAGGGTCGTCCCGCTGGTACAACTAGAATGCGCGTGAAAAATAAAACCCTCGTTTAAACCCTGCTCCAAGCCTCCTGACCAGTGTTCAAGACGAGCCGTCACACCAGGCAAACGTCAGCCGACAGAATTGCCGCCCGGCCGACTCAACCGAGGGGCGTCGGCCGAAAAGCCGACAGAATCCGACAGCTGTTTTTGGGGTGTTTCAAGTTTGGCTGATACAAGCCGACCGGTTCAAAGGTCCAGCCGACTCACCGGAGAACACTGAACAGTCGGCCTGGGAGCGATCGGACGAAATCACAACTCCGTGCTCCTGACCTTGTTGGTGCAGACAGCCTAGGCTGGCCCGCATTGCAATGTGGGTTTCTCTTGGGTAAGAATATTGCATCCATGCATATTGGCAAAATCAGCCGCTATTAGCACAAGCCCAAGTCATCTTCTCATCCGCCGCAATTTGCAATCTGGAACCTGGTGTTTGGATCTGTATGCCGCCGGTTCCTTTTTCCCCTTCCACGAAAAGATCCCCAGAGCTTTGAACTTTTGAAGTACGGGGCAGGGGGTTTTTAATGGTCCGGCGTCCTGCAGTTTCAACCCGAGTTTCAATTCCTAGGTTTCCCTCATGATGCTGCACAAGCAATGCATATCTGATGCCTACCACTGACTTCCTCCTGCCCAAACCACGCCCAAACCGCGCTGTCATCGTCCGACTTTTAGGACAAAGCCGGGGACAAAGCCCGCAGAGTCGTAGGTACGTAAGTTTGCAAGTCTCAATATGTGACGTCATCTACTACCTAAAAAGCGGTTATCACTATAGGAGCCTAACCACACACTAAAACCCTAAGGTCAAACTATGAGCAGTAACCTGGTTGTGAGCAACCCTAAGGCGTTCCGCCAGGGGCCCGCCCTAACCCACCCTAAACCTCCTTACTAGCCCCACCAAGATCAGTCGGTTGCCCTCCGTAACCCGAAACCGGCCGAAAGCTCTCCGGGTACCGAGTCTCTGAGAAACAGACGCCCGGTTCAAAGTACGGACGGTATCGGCGGTCCGCCGCGATCGAGCGGTACCCTACTGTCGCACTGCCGGCGAGGGTACCGAGGTTCGGAACCGGCACGTGGCAATTGAGACTTGCAAAGTTACGTAGTCTGCTGCCCGCAGAAGACGCGATTAGGTGTCAATGAATTCGTAGCGTGAAGTCAGCTGCTGAGAAGCTTTCGGCCATATCCCGGGGTGGCAACTGGTTTAAAACGTTGTAAAATGGTTGAAAAGCGCCCCAAAGACGTTTTATTTACGGTTTTTAGGCTTTTCTTGTTTTCTGTGCACATATTACATCCATCCAGATTGAAAGCAATCAGCTTATAGCAAATAAAATCCGGATATGTGAAGCAGAAGGCATTTTAAAACGTTTTAGTTGTTTTGCTGTTTTTAAAACAGGGATAATTTCGGCCTCATCTTGGACGCACATGTCTTGCGGCCGGTTTGGTTGTTTTATTCTGTTTTAAAGTGGTTTTAGAATCGGAGGGGGGGTCCATTTTCAAAAATAAGGGGTGTTTTAGGCACCTCACGACGAGCTCTATCCGTTGGTTATAAATAAAACCTAAGCGCTATTCATTTTATGCGGTTTTGAAAAAAATAAGACGAATAAAACACAAGGTGTTTTAAAACTTGAGTTGCCACCTCGTGGGCCATATGAGCCTGTAGCGTCGGTACGGTGTAGGAGTAGGTTGAAGATAGTCTAGCATTTGAAGAATAAGCCAAAGACACACACCAAACACTGATGTATGCCATGAGAAGCCTATGGCTACGGCGTATTTGAAAAGAGACCGTCAGTGACTGACGGTTGAAGTTTGAACCGGACCGGACAGCCAGACTTAGGCCCCTTGTGTGCGAGGTTGAAATCTTTTGATGCCACTGCTCAGGGTATCAGCACGGATGGCATGTTACAGCAGCGACGTATCATCGACACCTGCAGACCGGACCTGACCGAAGACTCTAGTGCATAGAAGCACCGATGTCACGCTGTATGGGCTCGTTGCTGTGACGGCTCGGCTACACGTGCCAGTAATGCCTCATGCTAGTTACTAGAGCTTTCCGCCATTAGCTATATAGGGTTTTCACCCATCGCGACCATAGGGTTTTCTGTAAGTTGCATTGGCCCTGGGCCATCAATCTGCATGATCGCATGAGAGTGGCGCTGAGCCA